ATACTAATTTCTTTATGCTCAAGGATAATGAAGCCTTGTTTTCTAAGCATATTATACATTAAATACTAGTTTAGTCGTTTACTGAAAGCAAAACCACATTACCCAGGTAAGTTTGCTCATTACAGGAAGTCAAAGAATTATGATAGCTGAGGGTATAACTATTGTCAGAGAACTTATGCTAAACAGAATTAGGACCTTCACAAAGAGGACAGTCCTATCTTGCAGTCTCCTTGTTTTTCTTATAAGCCAATGCCAAGACCATCCAAACTGCCTTCTGTAGCTATCACCCCTTTCCTTAGTTCTGTGTTGATCCCATGACATGCCTTGTTTGTTCTTTGTAGCTGTGTACTTTTCTCTTTGCTGCCTTCCCATTGCCCTCTCCCCTTCAGTGAGTTTGCGTTCCAACAGATTTAGAAAGACCCCTCTATAGCAGAGTGATGTCTGAATGCTCAGAAGTAAATTCCAAAATGCACTCAGATCTATCGATGTAGCATAAAAACTGTTCAACTGTATTGTACCAAACTTGCATTGTGTAAACTGGGGCAGAATATGGTATGTTTTGTTACTGGTATCTTTCCAATACAGACAAAAAAAAAGATTTTTAGGTTTTTTTGAGTGTTTGAGGGGTTATCAAGAAGACGCTGGATGGAGTTATTAGTTGAAACAGAGGTTTACCCAATATTTTTCAGATCTTATTTAAATATTGTCTCCTTTTCCTTTTTAGTACCTTTTAGTATCTTACAGATATCTTTAAAAGTACATTTCTATAGTATACGCTTTGAACTCGTTTTAATATATTGCTAAGGGACAGTAGAAGTACAAATGCAAGTCACTTATTGTTACAATTTTTGTAACCTCTCACTGATGACACCTCACTTTTCTTGCATCAGGTGATCCTCTGTGTGAACAGCTACGGCAGGGTGTGATGTTTGTTCTAAAACATGAAGGATACTAGTGCTAATGGGACTGAAATCAGTTAGGTTACTAAATATTAGTCCTTATGAATGCAGTCATCTGTCTCCATATTTAATAGGACAAATGAACCTCTCATTACTGTTCTTTCTTATCTTCATAAGTGATTTTTAAAACCATTAAGGAATAATTCAGCAGAATCCTCTTAGTGCATTACAACTGATAATAATTCTTTTATAATGACTGTGGTCAAAAGGGACGGGATTGGTTGTATCACCTAGTGCTAATAGTGCTCTTTTATTTTGGTATAAAATTGGGCATGTACCAAAGACTGAGTGAAGTCCTGACTGACTTCACTTTTTCCCAGAACAGCTGTTGTACAGTAGGATTACACTCACCAGTCTTCTACTTGAAGAGATCTTTTACATGTTGCCTTTTTGAATATTTTTTTTTCTGAATAAGTAGTTAGGTGATATCCTTGGAAAAATGGGAAGAGGCAGTATTTTGTCAGATCCATGAAGAAAATACTATTTACTTTTGGGCTTAGCTTAACATAGTTAGATACCAGCTCTACTGAATTTCTGGGGCATCTTCACTGACCTGGTTTGCCATCAAACCAGTTTGTTGCAAACAACTCCCTTTTATATAAGCCCATTAGCTGTTGGAGCACAGCAGTAACTTGAGTTGTGAGTGCATCACTGCCACCTTTATCAGAGCTTATAATAACTTAATGTATCTCTGTAGTTCTTGAAACAGATTTGGAAGTAATGTGAAATTTCCTGACTGTGTGTTGTCTCTTTGCAATATTTTACCTTCAGTAAGTGACAAGTGAGCCTCCTCCTAGCTTCATACTCGACTATTTGCCTCACTACTAATAAGCAAAGATTGCTAGATTAATAACTTGGACAATATTTTTATTTCTAGGTTGCATGAAACAATATTTTACTATTTACATGAAGTAGAGCTAGGAAAGTGATGAAGTTGGGAAAATGGGACAGATGGTCTTATATTTTTCTGTTTTGTAAATATTAAAGTACCATATGTAGGAAAGAAGACTTCCTTTTGGTTTCAGAGATGTAGCCAGCATATCTCCATAGAGTTTAGAGTTACATTTATGCTAAGAAATTTAATTGGATTTGAGCCCTTTGCCAAAACTCTGTGAGAGTTTCAAATATGTGTTTAATTGATGAAGGAAAAATATTCTCTTGCTTTTTCACCTCTCATCCTGTTTCTTTACATTCTACTTGACATTCATTACTTAATCTACTGCATTTACATAGTTTGACATCAATTATTACAGTTATTGGAATTAAGCAGTGCAATTGTCCTTGAAGCAATACTGCTCAAATGCTGATGTATATGTTTCTGAAGCAACTGCACAAGATTCCTAACTCCATAAAAAAAATATAGTGCCAGAGAAATGGTGACATAGGACCTAAAAAGTGAGTCTGTGATGTCTGAACACTTGAAATTCCCCAACCTCTGTGTTTATTAGTACTTTGGTTTCCAACCAGAGTTGTATGTCCTTAGGTTATAGTGAAGCTTTACCTGACAAGTAAACAAAAAAATGAGGCTTGGAGTAGCCTCTTGGATGATTTATTACTCCTTGGTGCTTATTACAACATAAAAGAAAACTTTATGTGAAACTCAGTTCCTTTCCTACATGTAGGTTTGTCTTTTGCTTCTGAATGAGCACAGACTCTTTCTCTGTCAGTGCTCTGTGTGTCCTAAAGGAGCTTTCACCATGCTCCTTGTTGTTATGTGGAGGATGGTACAAGTCCCTGATCACAATTCAGGACAACTCATGAAAAATGTTATTTACCACACGTGTATTTGATTTTTAATTTATTTTATTTTATTAGAAAATAATGAATTTTTTTTAAATTTAGGTTGGCAGGCTGATAATGAAGTAATCTACAGTTTTCTCTGTCATTTTTTGGTACTACTATTGAAGAAAAAATTCAAATCTTGTCTAATTCTTGCTTATCCAGGTTGATTACATGAAAATTAATAGAAAATCTGTCTCATTACACTTTTCTTTTAATTGTATTAGTTGGCACATTATCTGAGTATTATCAATAGAGATTAATGGTTTTTTCTGTGCTCATCTTTTCTTGAATTTTTACTGTCAGCAGAACTGAATAATTGAGGGGTTTAGCAGGTTCTTATTCATGGATGAAATTTGTGAGAGAAAAAATTTAGTTTGGAGCATAATACTCCTCATCTCTAGAGATGTTTGTCCTCCTGGACTTTCATGCCAATTATACAGAAGGAATCTTGGTGTGATTATGATGTTCAGTATAAACTATATCTTGTGTTTTAGTTTTCCAAAAGGTAAAATATTTCCACAAAGAATAGACGATAGTTACTATATTTCAAGACTGAAAATCCAGATTTTCAGACTAGTATTTTTTCTTAACCTTCAGATACATCCCAGTTCTCTACTATGTAGAATCCTAAATGAAAATTTCTTTAAAAAAAAGAGTCCATTTTTTGCCTGTTTGATTTCTGCCTTGATTAGACCTTCAAATTAATGTGATTGATTTTATCCGCTGTTGGTTTATGAACATTTATTGTTCAATTTTTTTAAGATAATGGATGTTAAAGAGAAACAGCTGCTTAGAATGGTGATGATGCTGGAAATGTGGTTACTGAAGAGTACGTAGTTATTTTGCATAATTAAGCCCCTCACCAATAACACTGTCTTGCGTTGTGTAGGTTATTCCCAGAATCACGGGAACAAAAGATAATTTAAGGTGGAAGGGACTGAAGAAGGTCTCTAGTCCAATCTCCTGCTCAAAGCAGGGTCAGACAAAACAGATTGATGTGGTGGGTTAGGCCAAGATCCCCTACAGTGCCTTGCTCGATCCTTTTAACAACAGCAAGACAGGGATGAAATTAGGAAGACTGAGACTGAGAAAACTGATGGGTCAAGGCAAAGACAGCAGAAATCATTGTCAAATCACTGTTGGGGCATAACAGACTCCAGTTGGGGAAATAAAATTTATTTATCAACCTAACATAAACATTTAATTACCTGAGTATTTGAAAACAAGGATGATAAATAGTTAAACGCTTAGGGAAAACACATTTTTGCTTCTTTCCTGTGCTCCAGATACCTCTCCTTTCCATTCCTAGTCTTCACTCTTCTCATTATCACCACCCATGCAGGTTACACTCAGTCCCTCCAGTGAGATGATGGGTAATGCAGGAGGTTGGGGTGAGGACATCGTGGTTTCTTTCTGCCATTCCTTCTTTTTTAACTCTTTTCTTCCACTGTTCCTTCTGCCTAACTCGTTTCCTCGGTTCTGTTGTGGGTTATCCACAGGCCACAGTCCTTTTGGGGATGTATTTGTTCTTGCATCTCCACCGTCCCATCAGGGCTGTTACCAACTGTGTCATGGAGCTCCTCCTATCATTTTGGCCTTGTTCCTCGGGCTGGGTTCTAGCAGGTGCTACAAACTCCTCTAAGTCTCTCAGTAGTGTCCTGCAGTGGGTGCGTTGTGGAGCTAGCTAGAACTGGCTGTATTTGCACAGCACAACCTCTGACCTCCCTCCCACAGAAGTCACCCCTGCAACCAACCCTCGCTACCAAAACCTGGCTATTTATACCCAATGCAGTCCAATATGAGAAGGTTGTGGGAGGTAGTGTCAAAAACCTTGATAAAGTCAAAGTAATTGCCACCCAGTATTCTTCTCTCATGCACAAAACTAATAATTTTATCCTAAAAGTCAGGCATGATTTACCCTTTTTCAGTCTATGCTGAGTGTTCCAAGTCGCCTTATTCTTATTGAACTTATGGGTTTATGTATATTTCTATACATTTTTCTTTCTTTTTTTCTTTCCCCCTTTAATTTTGTCCTCAGGTTTGAAATATGAGGTTGTTATCTTTCATGTAACATTTTTTTTTGATTGTTTTCTCTACCTCTATATGTATCTTAGTTCAAAGCATAACAATGTTTAGCTGAAACTTCAGATTCGTTGAACAGGTTCTGTGTATAGAATGAAAAAAATACAAGACATGACAATAAAAAATTTAAACTGACAAATACGCAAATATATTAACAACCTACTTTATATTTTTCAGCTTTACTTCAAGTTACAATTTCACTTAGCAAAGTTGAGCTCAGTGTGGGTGAATCCAAATTCTTCACGTGCACAGGTATGTCTTCATTTTACTTATAGATATGTAATTTTTGTAAATTTTTGAACTTCCTACATATTTAAAACTGAATTAATTGATTCATAATATTAAATTAACATAATGTTGTATATTCATATTGACTCGTAAGAATCATGATAAATATTAGCTCTTCACTGGCTTCACATTTCCAGTCTGAAATCTCTTCTTTTCACACTCTGAATCACTCAGTTTGAATCCTCTGTATCAGTAAAGGTTGTTTATATCTGTTAAGATGCTTTTTTAGTTAAAATATTTTTACTTGTCTAAATTAAGGAATTAAATAAGCTACCTGCTTAAACTTTAGCATCCTCTCCAGCCTAATGAGAGAGCCAAAGAGTTTTTCTGGTGAGGCAGTTATCAGTCAGTAGAAGAGTTTGCATTTGCAGCTGCCTGATACTGATCCTTGATATTTCTGAGTTAGCATCTTCCACTGATGGTGACACATGGCCTGACTACACTGACAGTGCAACTGCCTGATGACTTGACCCGTTGACCCAGTGACTGCTGAACAGCCTGTGTCTTCCCTTTAGGACTTTATACCTGTCTGTGGGCTTTTTACCCCTCTTGAATTATTGAGCTCCTATTTGTCCTCTCTCAACAATCGTACATCCTCCTGTGGTTTTGTCTTGCTTGTCTTTCTGCTGACAGTTTGACAACTCTCACAATTTAGCAGTTAGCTGACACTATAGAATCACAGAATGGTTTAGGTTGGAAAAGACCTCCAAGATCTTGGAGTCAAACCTTTGACCGATCCCCACCAGGTCAACTAGACCATGGCACTAAGTGCCACATCAAGCTTTCCCCTGAACACCTCCAGGTATGGTCGTTCCACAATCTCCCTGGGCAGCCCATTCCAATGCTTGACAACCCTTTCCATGAAGAAATTCTTCCTGAATTTTGCATAAATTCCTGACACTGCGTAGACTATGCGTTGGATAAATTTGTGCACTGCGTAACGTCCTCCTGAACTGCTAAATTTGGGTTGTTTTTTGGTTTCGTTTGCAGCCATTGGTGAGCCTGACAGCATAGATTGGTACAATCCCCAAGGAGAGAAGATTGTTTCTAGTCAGAGAGTGGTTGTTCAGAAAGAAGGAGTTCGATCACGTCTGACCATTTACAATGCAAACATAGAAGATGCTGGGATATATCGGTGTCAAGCAACAGATGCTAAAGGACAAACTCAAGAAGCTACTGTAGTTTTGGAAATTTATCGTAAGTAAAATACTACCATTAACAAATGAAAGACTATGTTTTAAAAGGCACTAGTATAGAGAAAGGAAAGCCTATCAAAATGTCTTCCCAAACTCTGGTCTTTCTCTTCCACATAATTGCTTCTCCTACAGTTTAGTTAGTGGGTATTATGACAAAGACTCAAATTAAATGGGTGGTCATTTAGTAATATTGTAGATCACTTTTCCCTTATATTTTAGAATGTCATCTTAGGAGGGTGCACTGTATGCTATGCCCCTGAAAGAAGTGAGTAAATATGAGAAACAAGTCAGATCAACGTCATTCTAATTAAAAGCATATCTACAATATATTGCAAATATGTGTATAAATAAAATTTTATTATTATATAAATAAAAGTTATTATTGCAGGAAGTGCAATATGTGACATTTAAAAAGTGGAGTTTTTGCTGAATTGGTTACTTTTATGTCAGTCATTTGATATTCTTGGCCTTATAATGGAATTTTGACATAAAGCATTGACAAGCTTGGGGTGATAAGAAACCAAAATGCATTTCAATTGCAAGCAACTAATTGAAGAGTATATTTGAAAAATAAATACATTCTACTGTGGTAAGAGATTCCCTGAGAGATTTGTTGTCGGGTTTTTTCTCACTGTAGTTGAATAACTTTACATTGTTCTATATTCTTCAGATCAATTAAAGATGCCTAGAAGCAGTACATTAAACAAACACAGTGAATATGTAAGGCAAGGTGTTTGTCGGTGAAAGGATGGGCCATATGCCAGCAGCCTTTCAGCTGAGTTAGTCTCTAATTTGATTAGAGAACAGTTTTTTAAGTGCTTAGGCATTACAATGAGACAGAAAATACAGAGTAGAACGGTAAAGCTCTACTTCTGAGGGCTACAGATAACTCACATAACAAGACATATAATTAAAAAAAATGTTTTGATAAAAGAACCATGTAAAGGGTGATAGCAGTTACAAGTGATTACGTGATGGCTTGAAAGCTGGCAGTTCAAAGGATTTCAAGTTTTGTGGATTCCTTTGTATGCATAAAACTGCCAGATACTCTATTAACAGACTGCTGAGCAAGGTGAAAGTCTTTTGAAGTGTTTGCATGTGGTAATTTCAATAATTCTGAGGCCACATAAACCTGAAAACCCCCAAAAAATATCAAGGTTTGTGGGAACTCACATATAAAAGTATCTTTATTCATATTTGTTATGTATACTAAGAAAAAAGCAGGATAGACTCACTCACTATCTGTTGGTTGTCTTAGAGCCTGGCTCAGGGCTCACTGATGTCTGTGAGAGGTTTTTTCCTGTCTTACATATGGTAAAACACTTCAAACACTTCATGCAAAGCTATATAAGAGCTGCATGTAACAAAAGTGTGTCCACCTGCTGTGGGAACTGTGTGGATTATTTGAGCCTGTATCAATACAGAAAAATGGAGATGAAGTGGCATCTTTGCTTTATGTTCTCCAAAGTGTCCTCTGAAAGATAACTGGCCATCTTTGCTCTGAGGCAGCATAGGTTGGTTTGTTTATTTTGTGTGCAAGAAACTCTTCCAGAGTTTTTTTTTTGTCAGGCAGGTGGTTTCTGCGTTAGATCTTGTATGAGATCATGGATTAATACCATCTTGGACTTCCAGCACTAAATTCTAATAACACTGAATTTATTCAACCCACTAATACAATTGAATATTGTTTGGTTATTTGGGGTTGTTTTTCCATATTATTTCTCACTGGCTTTTGAGGTTTTCTGTTTTACTCAGTTGATGTTTTTCTCAGTTAGTGAAGCTAAAATTGTACTTTTTTAGGTAGTTTTCCAAATTTTAGTGGTTTTGATGAAAGTTTTGATAGAATAAAAACATGAAGTTTTAATTAAGTAATAAAATAATGAGGAATAAAACACAAAAGAGAGTAAATAGACTATTAACATGAATATATAAAATTCTAAGACCCAGAGTTTCAAAACTGGGCTCTGGAACATTGAAAACAATGAAAATATATTTATAAAACATGAACAGATTATGTTTCATAATAAAATATGTTTGGAAAGTCACTTTTACAGACAGTGGAAATGATGTGTCTAGAACCATTTGAGTCTTATCTGGGAAAAATATATTATGGAAATAACTCTTTTTTATCACAGTGAGAAGGCGTAATAGTCACATTTATCTGATTTGATGTCACATGTAATTTTAATGCTGAGTGAACTGTAAGACACTTACTGTATTCTCCTTTTTTTTGTTTTTCCTTTTCAGAAAAGCTCACTTTTCGAGACATAGTGTCTCCACAGGAGTTCAGGCAGGGAGAAGATGCAGAAGTTGTTTGCCGTGTTACCAGTTCACCTGCTCCCGTTGTCAGCTGGTTGTATCGGAACAAGGAAGTCACAACTATTGCTGACAGTTAGTATTTTGGTAACTCTTTCAGTTATACATTCCAATTAATATTAAAACATTATTGTAAAAGAAGACTAATCGCATTATAGTGGGGGATTTGACTAGCCCATGAGTCTGAGTATGATTTAACCAGGTTCTGTGGTCTACAGAGAATATACAATGGTTTCCTTCATATGTCTTTTTTTCTAATTGGGAATTTTGTCTAGATGTAACATGAGGGTCCAAATGCCCAAAAGGTTTCTGTGAGCTCCTTCACAGGAACTCTTCCTGGTCTGCCTGGTACGTAGGAGTTGAACATATGTTTAAAACACACACAGATGAGCTTCCCTGTGCACACAAAGCAGTGACACTGCCCACACACTGCACTGACTTTGGGATACTTGCATAGTTGCTCAGAGAATTCCAGGTGGAATGGCTTTTTGCACTCTTGAGAGAGTTTGCGTATGTTGGGGATAAGTTAAGCTAGACTGATAAAGCCTAGGTGAAGATAAACCCCACATTCCCCACATACAAGTTCTAAGCCTCTAGAGAGAAAATGAATTAGGCACTTGGAATTTCTTTGACTTACTGCCTCAAAAACTGTGAATCATTTGTCAGTGCTATCTCAATAGTTGTATATGCCTTTATGGAAATTGGGACTTTCCACATTTTCTGGAAATGGAACTAACATTTTTAGTGAACCACCTTATCCACCTTCCAATCAAGCTTTGTCTCTGCTTATAACGAAACTCGAGGTAGCAGTATGCACTTTAAATTATTATAGTTTAAAAAAAAATTGGTATTTTTATATAGAAATGAACATTAAAAGTTTATTTGGTGTCTCACAAAATGAAATAAGCAAATGTGGAGCAGTTTCTTGGGGGGGAAAAAAAGCTTGGTTGATGTTTCTGGACTTAGTCTTATTTTCCTCTCCTCTTGTAAAACAAAATTTTGATTAAAGTTCTTTCTTACTTCTGTATATTCTGTTTCTTTTGTCATCTAGACACAGAGACTAAAAAGAAATTGCAAACTTCTACCCCTAAAAAAAAACTGGTTGAAATTTATATATATATATATATATACACAAATATATATATACCAAAACAGTGATTGTATGTGAAACAGGAGATTTTGAAGAATACGAATTCTGAAAAGAAAAATTTAGGAGAATGTAATTTTCAGCTGACAGCCTGATATGTACCCTAGAGTACAGCAAAATTTGCAAACTGTCAGCCAAAAATACCTCTAGCTTGGGTTACAAGGCTCTAAAAAGACATAGACAATCCTTCTTGCTACCACTTAACATCTGATATGACTGAAGGGGAAGGTCACGTGTCTGGCTGTTCTTCTGAATCAGGCATTTGAAGCCATTGAGTGGGTTGAGTCCAGACAATATAGTGACAGGGTGGAGGAATGTAATGCCCAGTTACTGTCCAGATCCACTGACTCTAATCTGTTTAGTGAAGGACACAGGATATCCACGGGACAGTGAACTTTATTGTGTGTGTGCACCATCTCAGTAGGTTGCCCAGAGAAGTTGTGGATGCCCCAGCCCTGGCGTTGTTCAAGGCCGGGTTGGATGTAGCTTTGAGCAACCTGGTCTAGTGGAAGGTGTCCCTGCCCATGAGGATAGGAACTAGATGATCTTTAAAGTCCCTTCCAACCCATGCACAATTCCTGCTGAATGAGAATACTATCATTATATACTTAGTGGCATCTTTACAGCAACATGAGCTCCTCTTTCATAAGCCTACTAAGGGATAAAACATGGAGAGCAATGACTTCTAAAGAAAGTCACACATTCAATTCACCTCCCATTTTCTAAGATTGATTATAATATAATGTATATTAATTTTGACTGTATGTAGACAGTATTAGTGGTGAAAAAAGACCCAAAATATTTTTGTTGTGGTATAACAAGTTTACTCATGGTGGATGTCTATTGTTGTTTCCATTATATTTTTCTTCAATGAAAGTTGCAAAATTATCCAGCCAACACTTACAGTTTTTGTTTCTTGTTACTAAGGAACAAGAACCCTCCTGAACCTTCATTTTTTTAGTGTTTTAAAGAAATAAATATGACCTCCAGTCCTCTTGTTCTTCTCATACATTAAATATTTATGTTAAAAAAAAAAGAAAAAGTTAGCAATTAACTTAAAGAGGGGCTGGATCTCACCTTTTCAAAACATTTGGAGGCACAGTTCTCTGGGAATTGTGTAGAGGTAGGAAAGAAAAAGATTATATAATTTCTAGGTGGCAGTGTGTGAAATGGCATTAATGTTCAAGCATGAGTTTATAAACCATACATAATTAGCGTAAATGTATTGAGGACATTGATGTCCTGTAAACTTCTATCAGGTGAAGCATAATTAAATTTTCTTTTTTCATTTCTCTCTTTATTTTATGATAGAATTCTTGTTACTGAAACAGAAGTCATTTGGTTTCTAGTTAAAACTGAAAACTAGTAAATCTTGTCATCCTCCAGTGCTGAAAGGATGACACTGGAGCAAATAGAACAAGAAAGGTAGCTGAATAACAAGCATGCAGGTTCTTCAAAACCCACATACATGAACTGCAGGAAGCAATTCTCCTCAAAAGATTCCATTAATGTTGACCTTGGCCAACTTCCAGGCACCCACCCAGCCACTCTGTCACTTGCCCTCCTCAGCAGGTGTGGTGGGTTGACCCTGGCTGAATGCCAGCTGCCTACCAAAGCTGGTTTTTTTCGTGGACAATACTCCTCTTCAGCTGGACAGAAGAGAGAAAATATAAAAAAAGGCTCATGGGTTGAGATAAGGATGGTGAAAGATCACTCACCAATTGCCCTCATGGGAAAACAGACTTAACTTGAGGAAAAAATTAATTTATTACTGATCAAAGCAGAGTAGGATAGTGAGAAATAAAAGCAAATCTTAAAAGAATATCTTCCCCACATACCTCTCTTCTTCTGGGTCTTGATATCTGTTCTGGTACCTGGGGCACCTCCTGTCTCTCCTTCTGCACTGAGCTTGGTGTCTGCAGGGTTCTTCCTCTCACACATTCTCACTCTTCTCTTCAGTTGCACTTGCACAGTAACTTTCCCCCTTCTTAAACACATTATCCCAGAGGTGCTACAACTGCAGCTGGTTGGTTCGGCTTTGGTGTTGAGATAAAGATGGAGATCACTTATGAATTACCAGCACAAGCAAAATGGATTTGCATTGGGGAAAATAAATTTATTACCAGTTAAATATAGTTGATTAATTAAACACAAAGAATTAAAGCAACACCTTCCCCCTCCTTTTTCTCAGTCTTAAATTTACTCTTTCATTGCTGACTCCAGGGAGAGCGGGGAGACTGGGGAAGGGGGGTTGTGGTCAGTCCATAACAGCTCCAATGTGTGTCCTTTCAGAGGGTTGCAATTGTTCAGGATAAACTTGTTGCAACACAGAGTCTTACACGGATTAAAAGGTGGATATTATGTTCTTTCCTAGGGCCAACACGTCAGCCTGTAAACCCAATGCACTGGTCCAGACAGAAAGGAGAGGAAAAGTTAAATTTGCATCCAGTTTACTCTTGCAGATTATAACTTTGCTGCTGCATATGCAGAAAAGTTTGTGCATGGTAGTTCAGAATCTGATTTTTTGCAATGAACTTCAGCTACTCAAAGAGGCCACTGAAGTTCAGTTTATTCTGGCATATGCAGAAAATAGAGTGCTTTTTTTTGGATTACATCTTTTTACCCATTTCTGTGTAGTGTTAGACTGTGGTGAGATACATCTTTGAGTAAGAGTGACTGAGGAAAGGAGCAGGGGGAGGGAAGGGGGGAAAGCAAGCTGAAAATCATTAGACTTAATGGCGTAGAATGGGCACAGAGATACTTGGCTAATCTAGATGAAGAGAGAAGCAGCATTTTGTTGTTTATTTTATTATAAATTTTTCAATTTATATTCTGAATATTTTTTTCCGTTTAATCTTTTTAGATAGCCTATGCAGGTGCTCATGAATATTCCACTCATTTTGCAATAAATTGTAAATTTGACTTAAATTTGGTGACTCCTTTGATGATTAAGTGAAAGGTATGGATGGAAAATCCATACTGAAATTTAGGAAATGGCAATGCATTTTGCAATGAGAAAACCCCCTAATTTCTCAGTTGACATTTTACTTATAATGAACAAATGTTTTCTCAATGAGCATTCATATTTTACAGAGAAAGTACATGAATATTACTAATTTAAGTTAGTGTTCCTCATGTTGTCTTGATTTACTAACTCCACTTAATCTCTTATTTGCCCTTCTAGATCGATTTGCAGTATTAGCAAACAATAATCTCCAAATTCTTAAAATCAATAAAAGTGATGAAGGAGTATACAGATGTGAAGGAAGAGTGGAAGCAAGAGGAGAAATTGACTTTCGGGACATAATTGTTATTGTGAATGGTAAGGAATAAAAGTCGGCGAATTGACTTGTTGCTTTATTTGATTGTTAGATCCTATTTTAACATATATCAGCTTCCAAAAAATACTGATTAAAGTAGTTAATATAATTGTTACATCGGTTTAGTATTGTTTTCCTATAAATGTAATTGCTTAATACTGAAAAAAGTCTAGTCTACTATGTAAATAGAATTCATTGCATTTCACAGTATCAGTAAATATAAATATGTAAAACCTGATTGTTGTTATTAATCATTCACAGAACATTAACAATTACTGCAAAACCTGAGTAGCAGATTATAGCAGTCCTGTTCTCACTGTATCTTTCAATGTTTTGTCATTTACAGTTAAACTGCAATAGATTTTTCATAATTATTCACCCTCACTGCATTAACATACTTTATGAACTGTTTTAAAAGTCATAGATACATTTTATTAAGATTAAATGTCTTATCTATAGATTTTTGAATTTTTAATGAGGAATAAAATTTATAAGGAGTTACCTAAAAATTTGAATTATACATTTTATAAGTTTATAATAAACTTCTAAGAAGGAAAATTAATTAATTTAGAAAAGATGAGGCATTTTACTCAACCTCTCTTAAATTCAGGGTTGACCTGTTGAAAGATAAATATCTCTTCATATATTGCCTGGAAAGGACACAGTTCATAAAGGTCATTTTTTATCTATGCCCTCTGTTTAATGTCAGTTTTGCAATGAAATTTTTTCCACCATGCCTTTTATATTCTGAACCTTAAATGCTTTGCCCTTGACTGGTCCTTCTTGGCAAACCTCAGTTTACAGAAGTCATTATCTAAGTTGAATTCTCAGTTAGTGTCAGCAGAAAGAGCAGGTTCTGGCACAGGTATTGCTAAATCCCAGGAGTCAAGCAGCAGTCTTTGAAGCAGAAATCTTTAGATTGTTGTGGCTAGCTCGTTCTGATGCTGCATTACCTCCACTCCTGGTTATCTGCAATTTTAAAACACTACTTTGCAAACTGTGGTTTGACTTTACATAATTTATTGGTGGATTAGAAACACAAATTGGGTTCTTCATACATTTATTATTACTCTAGACAAGAATTCTAACACTCACTTAGCTATAATTTTCAATGTTGGGAGGAGAAGGAATTGCCAAACGAGTGATTCTGACATGGTTGCTCATGTAGAATGGCATCAATTAAGAGCTATTTTCTGCTTCACTTATAGTAATAAATAGGTCTTCCTACATAAAATTTAATGTATAAAACTTGGTCCAAAATAGCTTTCAGAGTAATATCCATAAATAGATGAAAATTGTAGTGGTCTTTGGTTCACATTTTAGTTCAATCCGACATACATACAAGAATAGAATCAAAGATAAACAGATGTCTTCCCAGTAATAATGATGAGAAAAATAATTCCATTTCATTGTCATTGCTGTATCTCTTAGAAGATTAAAGCACTTAAGTAATGTGCTTAACCAAGTCATAGTCCTGTAGTTCTTATTTGTGAGCAGTAAAGAACCTGCTCCTTCTGGCAAAAAATTGGTTCATCTCCTCATGTTCCTAAGTGTATTTTCACTTAGAATGTGCTGAAAAGTGTCTAAAAATAGCTAAAATGTATTAAACACTTTCTAAGCAACACTTTTTTATTGGAGATGGAGGAACTGCTGTTGCACACCACATGGTTTTTGTATGCTGAGTAGAGAAAATTTTAGATAGGAGAGAAGTGATCTGTGAAAAACAGTAAAACACACCATAAAGAAGTGTGAAAAGTGTATAACAACATAGGCTTACTATTCACTGATAATTCTGGTACATGATTTTATGATAATTTGATATATTTAAGGTTCAGAAGCTGGAAGGGCTTCTGAAGTAGAATACTAAAGCTGAAATATTTGGAGCAAAGCAACAGAAGTAGATTCTCAATGTTTGATGAGAAAAACGTGTTGAAGTACATTGGGAAGCCAAAAGCAAATTCATTGGGGTTTTCTGTTTCATCTTCTTTTCTCTAATGAAGTATAAATGTAAAAGGGATAACTGAGTAACTCTGACAGGATGTTCTTGCTAACAGAGACCTGAAGCTAACATTTTCTGAAGCTCTAATCTCCTTTTCCCTTTCCTCTTCCTTTCTGTGACATTCTCTCTTTTACACATATCTTCTTCCTTCCAGTCTCCTGGGATTGTTTTTATTTGTATGTTTTGTAGAATCATGAAATGGTTTGGGTTGGAAGGAACCTGGGAGATCATTTAATTCCAATCCTTGTGCCATGGCAGAGACACCTTCCACTAGAGCAGTTTGCTCAGAGCCCCATCCAGCTTGGCCTTGAACACTTCATATTTGCTTGTTAGTCAATGGAAACAGACCTTGGACAGATGTGTGAAAATTACCAAATGAACAGATATATTAAATAGCAGCTTGTGAGTTGTGCTGTCTCAAATATTATTGCTAATTTTTCTGTCAGGTAGAGGTTCTCTGGGAACTGTTACAATTTTAGTAATAACTTTAGTAATGACACATCAAGAACAGAAACCATTTGTCACTCTCAGAACACAATTACAGTTTTTAGAAATACGAATAGATTGTATCCATTGGGTTCTATCCCATTTCCCCTTTGAAAGCTGGTGATACTCCTGCCCAGGAAGTATGCAAGAGTTCAGCAAAAAAAGTTAAATATTCATAATCAAGACTCCTGCATATGGACACCTCTTTTAAAAGCACTGTCTGACATCAGTGCATAGTTTTATGTCTTATGTATGTATTGTCTTGTATGTTAGGTATAACTACAGTCATCTTAGAATCTTCTCTATGAATATTGAAGAGCTGCTGAAAAAGACTTTAAAAAATTTATTCCATAGAAAAAACTGCTATAGATGTCCTGAAAATATTAGAAGTCCTGTGTTTAAGAAAAGTAAAGAAATACTCATAGAAGTGTTTCATATTGTGACTTGATTCCCAAGTGTAACCATAAATTCCCAAATTAGCAAAGGATCCTATCCTGCGCTTTAAGTTGCTCCAGAAACACATAAATTATTTTCTTTTTCATTAACAGGATGTAATGTGTGATTTTTTCCAGTTCCCCCTGCAATTATTCTGCTTCAGAAATCCTTCAATGCCACTGCAGACCGAGGAGAGGCAATAACTTTGTTCTGCAGAGCCACTGGATCACCTCCACCTGAAATCAGTTGGTACAGGTGAGTTCATTTGAGGGCTGCACATCGGGGCACATTGTTTTTCTGCCTCACGATTTTCCACCACAGTCCATTAAGCTGTGTATCCTTAATTTCTCTGCTGAATTTTAGGAGCATTTACTGTCTGTTTCTATTGTAACTGCTAGAGCTAGATTAAGCATTAATAAGTGAATGAACTTGCACAAATTCAATTGCACTCAGGTTACCAGCAAGTGAAATAAACATAAAAAGTAACAAAAATACCGTATTGTCATGATTTCTTCATACGTGAGTGGAAACAAATAAAGCTGAAGAAATGAGTCCGTTTCCCAAAAACAACACAAGGAAAATGTAACAACAACTTTTCACATGAATGTATCAGGTAAAAACATAGGCATTTGTGCAATAAATAAATGTCCAATACAAATCAGCAATATTGGTAAAAAAGATAACATTTTTCCCATCTGTAAAAATAGATTCTAACCCTAACTCTCCACTTTAATGAGATTGAGAGGAGATATGGCTTCAGACACCTGTAGGACACGGAGATGTTTCATTGAATAAGTTTCAGTGTAATTTAATGTAACTTTAAAAGTGTAAAATGCTTTGAAAGTAGAATTGCTTTTAAAGCTCATGTATGGTTTTTTGATTTTATCAGTGACATGAGCATAGTACAGCTATGTCATTTGGGAACACTTACCATATAACATTTGTAAAAATTTAAATATCTATACACTCTGTGTTCTTTCCATTTGAACAAAGATGTGCATCAGTCCTGGGATATAAAATATCTCAAGACCTAATACCAGTGCACTTTTCTATTTTAGACCTGAATAATTTGCACCTACTTATATTATTTCAGGTGAATTAAAAGGTCATTCCATTTGCAAAATGGGCATGGAAGGAATTTCCATTAATTCTTAATCTTCTTTGGAACCTTTGAACAATGTTAGACTAAGGTTATCTTCCTTTGACTGATACCTTCATCTTAATAAGCCAAACATCAAATGTGAATTCGAATTTTTCTCTTGTACAGTTGGAATCCCTGGAAGTGTAAATCAATAGAATGAAAAGTTAAGGAATTAATGTATCTTCGAATTCAAAGTTTAGTGAAGAGGAGGAAAAAGATACCCAAAATATGTAGAGACCAAATTAAAGAACTGATATTGAATTCAAGCTATGATTTAATATTCCTTTTATTTAATGTCTTTGAAGAAATTTTTTACAGTGTCTCTCTTACCTGAACAAAAATCTTGAGTTGCCTGAAATCTGCTATTCTAAGTGGCTTTGGTATAAGACAGGCAATATTATGGTATATATATTGTTAAGAAAGAATGCATGAATTTCTGCAGTTTGTGTATATCCCTGTTTATTTTTGTGGGATTTTCCCCATGTTTTATAAATATATAGTTTATGATTATGTAATATATACAAAACATATAATATATTTTAATTATAAATATTATATATATTATATTTTATAAATATTACAGAGAGAGGAACTTACCTCTGTGTCCACTTACCAGAGCCTCCTGAAGGATTGCCCATTGGTTTGCCAGCTCTCAAAGTGCTGAGTTTTTTAACCATTCATTAAATATTTTTAAAAGATTTTACAAAAGCTTCACAGGCTTGTGGACTGGGTATTGAATATTCAATGTGGAAGTTTCTGTTTTGTTTCCATTTCAGGAATGAAGAATATTGGCTTATATGCCTCCCTTCCCTGTTGCTTTCTTTTTTTCTCCTTCATTCTCTTTTTATTTTGTCTTATTAGATTATACATTCTTGTCAGTAGAAAATATTCTTGCTTTTATATTTCCTGAGAGTGAGAGGTTTTTAAAGTAGTAGGTGGGAAAGGCCTCTTATCCCTGTGATAGGATATTATTATTGATATGCAAATAGGGAAAAAAGATGAAGACAGATAAATTATTTTTTTTCTAGAAGAAACAAAAGTTTCTAAATTGTAATACAGTACTAAATTTCTGCATCAAATTTCTAAATTCTCTGTTCTGAACATTTGAGGTTTCTTTTCACCAACATATAGATAGCCAGTTAAAATAAATCAGAATCATCGGATCTCTTTTCCTAATAATTATGCCAAGATAAAGACCTTTGCTTTCTATAAGACTTTAGATTCTTTTTCTTTAGAAATTAGACTGAGCATAGAAAAACTAGATCAACATAATCTTTCTTGATTTTGAGAAAAATCTAAAAAGCATTGTCAGTGGTAGGAAAGTCTATCAAAACTGATTCATTTAATATTAATGTGCTTGTCATCCATTGAGAACCTAATTGAATCAGTTGATCGGAATCAATGGCCAATTATTCCCAATTTTATCTTGTTCAGTTTACTTTTTGATGTTGAACGTAAGTTTATAGTAACCTTGGTTTTAAGTTTCTATTTTAATAAACAAGTGGAATTATGGCTTGAACTTGATTAAATTTTAATGCTGATTTTGGAAGGATTATAATCTTTGTTAAGGGCAAGTTATGGAAATAATGTTCAGTTTTATGTCCAACTGTACCTTTTATCTTTGTGAGTTCAGTCACTTTATTTAATTTGCCTCAGGTTAACCATTTGTAAAATGGGCATGTGCAATAAAATGATTTAATGGAAGTCTGTTTTCTGAGTTCTCAGAATAGCTAAGTATAGCTAATAGCTTCAGAAAGATGAAAACTATTAACATAGAGAATAATCATGCCATTTTCTGATGTGTCATTGCAAAACACTCAAAAGGAAAAGTTCTGATAAAAAGGGAATGATTTGTACTCCATCCTGCTGGAAGATTTTCGTTATATGGTATAGAAAGTACATCCATGTCTATTGAGGTGGTTCATCAAGATTATGGACTTGTTTTATACCCAGTTCAGTGTTCTTGTGTTGTCTTTTAAAATGGGCCCTCACACGAATTATTCACTCATTGGATCTACTGAAGTTTCTTTGGCAAGAACTGCAGAATTTGTATCTGTCCAAAAGTAGCCTCACCTTGCTCACTGATATTTTAGTCAATTCAAAAGTAGATTCCCTTGATGTTTCTTTTGTTTCCTTTTTGGTTTCCAATTAACTGAGTTTAACAAGTCAGCTTCAGCTAGGGCATGAAAAATGTCTGTATTTTTAAAATCAGATGACAGTACTATTAAAGTGATATATATTCCTCTGTGTTGATTGTAAGCAAGATGATGAACAAATAGTCTTAAGCTTTAAACTCTTTAAGACAGTGCATAATGTGTTCAAGCTTGAACTGTTTACATTGACCCTTTTCACTTCCAGGTGCTGACGATGTTTAAGATTTTTGTCAATTTAAAATGAATGCATCTGAACTAATGTGTCTTTTTTTTTTTCTCAAAAAATATTTTAGTTCACTTAAAAATTAGTCATTTTGAAACACCTAGGCCAGAAAAAAGGTCAGCAAGGTTTAGTTGCAGCTCTATTTAATATATATATACAGAGAGGGGGGGGGAGAGAGAGAGAGGATATTTCATGGACCAAGAAAATCTAATTCTTTTGCTGTTTAACTGGTATCTCTATTGAAGCTGATATTGCATTAATGTAAAGATAACCTTCAGAGAAGCAATGCTCTAATGGCATTAAATTAGCCAGGACTGAAAGATTAAGATCCTAATGTAGATACAAGTCATGAACTGGAAATCTTTACTCATGCGAATAGTCCTGCTGAAAACATGATGATTGTTTACAATCGGGGTGATAAATTACTCCGGTAAAGTTTAGCTGGATCAATTTCCCGATCTTTCCTGACAGGACTTAGAATTATCTTACAAAAGAAATAATCTGCTTTAAATGTGTTATTCATATTTTCCTGTTATCTAATTTCAGCATCAGTCTGAATCTCTACTGTTCACTGGAGGGTCCAGGGAAATGCTCATTTCTGCTTAGAAAGTGCCATAGATATCAGTGATGTTTGTGAAAACAGGCATCTGGAAGTTACTTCTGACCTTGAATATAGACTTTTGTCTCCCAAAAGAAATCACTGGGGAGTTTTTGGTTGTTGGGGATTTTTTATAGTTGTTTGTTTATTGCTGTGTGGGTTGGTTTTTTTATTTGTATGTTTGTTCTGGTTTTGGTTTTGTTTTTTTTCTGTGAGACCACCTAATGTGGAGAGCTAGACTATTATTGGTCTATAAAACAATTTCTATGATTTGCTTTAGAAACAAAATGAACAAATATCATAATAATGTCTTGAAGTTGACAGCTAAGTGGACTACAGTTATTTACAAAAAAATGTTACTAAAATGTGAGCTATTAACAGATATTAATACTCCCAAGAAATAAGCAGTATCCTCACTTTTAGGGAAAATATAATTTCAGAAATTATTAAATATATGTAATTATTGTTAGATGAGAATGAAATGAAAATAGTTGTTGCTTAAATCTTGAATTAAATTTAGATGTCCAAAACTAGGCGCATTGAATAGAATATTTGCGTAATGTATATTATTTTTAAGTAGTCTGTTTTCAATAAATTGGCGTTGTCAGCAGCATTATCAGTGCTTATGAAAATCAAGCAATTTCTAGATAGGTGGTTATGAGAAGGGGCTGTCGATGAACCAATGCAAATAAGATCAAAGGAATCCTTTACAAACTGGGCAGAATCAGAAAAAAAAAAATTGAAAGTTAAAATTGCACTCTTGAAAAAGAAGCTGTGTGTGCCTGCCAAGGTGCTCAAATGGAACGGTCAAGCCTCGCTCAGCCCTCGGAATTGTTCGCAGGTTTTATTATTTCTCTACCATCTGGTCAGAACTCATTCTAACATCTGGAGACATGCCTGCTTACTAAGTTGTGGCTGGCCAACAACAACTGAGAGGAAATAAATTGGAAGGGTTCTTGATGTGCCAATAGGCTCTACGTGTATGTAATCTAAATTTTTTAGAAGTTGCTAAGTTGTTACTACTGTGAACTGCAGCAGTTAAAATTAGAAAATATGTTTTTAAATGTTTTTCACGCACAAGTGTGTATTTAACCAATTTCCTCCTGTCCTTCCTTGAGTGTAAGCCATATGTTAGAGTTCTATTCACAACCATTTTTCTAACATTAGGTCAATATCGAACGTTTAAGAACAAAGATATTGTAGTATTTTTAATACATGTTTATTTTATAACCTGACAATAATGTTGTGCAGCTGGGGTCTTGAACATCAAGATGCAGTTCAGAATGTGTTGCCTGTGTCTAGAATATGCACATTCTTATGGTAAAACACTGTGATCCTGAATACCAATTTTTGCCATCCTAAAATCAACTCCCTTCTCTACATATTGCCAATTAATGCATTTTTAAGGCCAGCATATTAGCAGTCTCTCCCCTCAAGTATTATTTTCAGCATATTGATGCTTTCATAGCCCATAATTTCAGAGTTTGGAACCTACTGGTTGAGTTATACATTGTTCTTATTTATTTTTTTTAGGAATGGCAAACTTATTGAAGCAAATGAAAAATATGTGCTGAGAGGAAGCAATTCAGAACTAACCATAAGAGATATTAAAAATATCGATGCGGGTCCTTATATCTGCAATGCTAAAAATAAAGCAGGAAATGACAAAAAACAGACATTCCTTCAAGTTTTTGGTAAGTACTGCATAGTATGTCCCATCCTGCCTTTTTAAATATAAACAGTGGGGAAATGAGGTGATAATTCACAATTTTCAGTGGAGCAGTATTTCTGCAAGGTGCCTACTGATGCAGCAAGCCACCCTCTGTATAATTTTACAGCTTCTTTCCTCCCTGTTGGCTCCTTTAACCTTTACACCTGAATTTAATTTTGAAAGGCTATCTTCAGAATTTGCTTTTCTGCTATTCAGATACAGTACAATGGAGTGTTAAATTGTTAATTCACTCCGGTTTTCTTTTAGAAGTTGTCTGCTTGCATGAAAACCAAGAAGAGAAAGAGGGGGAAATTCTGAAAGGGGAAAACTGGCTTATTTGGACTTCTAAAGAGTGAGGTTTTTTAATAAGAAAACACCATGCAGAGATGTTCCTGATTTTTTAATTTGTGGTTTTTTTCTTGACTTTCATTTTTTAAATGCGTGATTGCAGATGTAGTCATGAAAATATTGGCTGATCTGAGTTTCACAGGATGAAAGTGATAACATCAAAACTCTTATTTCTCTTTCTATACTCCACCACCCAATCTGTGTTAATGATTCTCTCCTTCACATAGAACTGATAATTTATTTGAAGTTTTGTTTAGATATAACCTAGTGAGAGTAGGCATCTGTGAGAATGTAGAAAACATCCCTAAGGATCACCGTGCAGGAAAAAGGCTGTAACTAACTTATGAAAAACCTACAAAAAATGAATGTATTGGAGGGGTTTTTTTACATTAATGATAGCTTGTAGAAGAGAGAAAGACTATTTACATTTGAAGACTTAAAGGTTGTACTTAGGACCATGGGAAATCAACTTTCCAGCTTAAAAAAAATAATGATAAAAAAAATTAAATATACAAAGTGAAACAGTTCTAATAGCAGAGGGTAATCTGGTCCCTTGCATTGGAATAGCTTAGCTGTTGGATTGGATAATACTGTCATTTGGGATCTGGGAGCCTGAGGCTTAAGCCATTGTGTCAGATGAACACATCCCACTGCCTTTCCTATCTGAGAAACTCTTCCCAGCCCTCCACGCTGTGCTGTCTCCAGAGCTCTGTACTCCAGGTGTGTTGCCCAGCTATTGGGCTGTTGTCCTTGAAAGTTGTTGTTCTTGAGGTACTTGAAAGTTATTCTCAATTATTTCATTCTTTCATCTTTTAGCAGCCACTTTGCTGGGGACTCCCTGGAAAGCTAAATCCAGATGTTTTAGTAGACACTATTAATTGGTTTAATCCATTTTGAACCTACGCATCCTTTTTGTTTCCATGACATCCTAAACTCATAAATTCCTTATATTGTTTCTTTCTGGCATGAAAAATATTTTCTTATGTGTAAGTTTGGAGCCTATTAATCCCTTTGGCTGGTAATTATCATTTTAAGATAAAAAGTGAAGAATAATTCCATGGGTTCTTTGGATCAAATGTAGTTTTCTGTCTTACTGGTTCATTTATTTTTGAGCTATGACTTTTCGGTCAATTTAGCTTCTCCTGTGGAAACCATTGTGAATCTCTGAACAGTGTATTCCTGTACCTTTCTGGTTATAATTCCACGTGGCAAGGCGGGAAAGGCACATGGGGTTTGTGTTGTGAGGGGAACTGATCTTGGTGCCCTCTCACATTCAGTTTTTCTCTCTGGCTCTCCCCGAGTACCAAACCAGTGTTTCCACAGAACTGTTTGCAGCATCTCCCACATCTCTTTCCTGAGTGGATAATTTAGAGGTTAATGTAGCAAATCTTGAGCACACCATCGAGTATTCATATTTAGTTACTTTTCCTGTGGACTTTACTATTGAATATATTTAATTTAAATTATAATAACCTGTATGCTGGTAGTTAGTCCTTGTGTCATGATTTCACCCAGTAGGCAGTTAAGCATCACAGAGCAGCTCACTTACTTCTCCTTGCCAGCAGTGGGATCATGGAGAATGCCAGAAGGAAAAAAAAAAAGTAAAATTCATCAGTTGAGATAAAGACAGTTTAATAGAACAGAAATGGAATAATAATAATAATAATAATAATAATAATAATAATAATAATAATAATAATAATAATAATAATAGAATCAAAATATACAAAAAAAGTGATGCCCAATACAATTAATTGCCCACCACCCACCAACCAATGCCAGTTCCTGACCAGTGGCCCTGGACAGCTTTCCCACAGTTTATATGCTGACCATGGCACCATAAGTGTGGAATATCCCTTTGGTCATTGGGGTCAGCTGTCCTGGCTGTGTCTCCTCCCAGCTCTCTGGGCACCTGCAGCCTCCTCTCTGGTGGGGTGAGAAGCTGAAAAGTCCTTGATTTACTGTGAACATTGCTCAGCAACAACTAAACCATCAGTGTGTTACCAACATTATTCTCATCCTGAATCCAAAACCAGGTGAGCTACTAGGAAGAAAATTAACTCTATTTCAGCCAACAGCAGGACACCTTAGGGAATAGTATGATCAATTAAGCCTCTTACCTTATTTGTAATCTCTACAGCTCAGTGTAATTTTAGTTTAATATTACCTCTACAAAATTCACCTCTATTTAACTGTGAAAATGTGGAGCACACTTTTAATTTCTGCTACAAAGAACTTTACTTTTTATTTTTCTGTTTCATGCAGGTTAAACTCCCAGTCATATACACAGCCAACAACTTATTATACTTTTCTTCCCATTAAATGTGTTAAAATAACCTGTGCTCTGAAAATGGCAAGGCAGATGGGTGGTTATTATAGCTAGACAGTACACAAACAGCTAGTTTGTGTTAAAATGGCCTATTAAATTACATTTCTCTTTCCCACTTCATTAGCTTACTTGTCTCAAAAACCTGCTATCTTGAATTCTAATTTGCAATGCCAACTCCTCGGGGCAGCAACTACTGTTTCTACTACAACTGGGCTCTGGCAGGGTTGAAACTTGTTCACACATTTCTACATTCCTTCTTCCTCTCTTTTACTTCCTTACCTGTTTGGAACACCTCTACCATTTAAAACAAAAATGATCTAATCTATAAAGGCAGTGATGACAGTTTTCTCAAAAGACAAGTCTTAAATCCCTTTGAGTGTGAAGTAGTAACAGCATTTTAACCTGTTTCAATTACACAATCTAGAAAGAAAATCTTGGGTTTATCATTCGCTAAATCAAGTCAACATTTCATACTGGTATGTGTGTGAATCCTTATTATGTCAGGAATCAAGTTTCAGCAATCTCAGTTATTTCCACGTTGGTCTGTAGTTTGTTTACTAAATTAAAATTGTACCGGCAGTTTCCAGGAGGATGGAGCTGCAGTTTTGATGATGCAAATATGGCTGTGCAGGAAGAGAGCAGAAAAGTATGATTCCTCCTGCGATATCTTAATCAGGAGATCCTATCAGGCAGTGATACAGGCATACTAAGCCTCTCACCAGTAAATCCATGTTTGTCTCAATTACAAGCTGATTAAAGCAGTTCTTCTGATGAGATATAATCGGGACTATCCCAAGCTTTATATATGTGTCACTTCCAAAGGCTGATGAAGCTTTTTTGTTAAAGATATGGGTAGAACTTTGTGAATGCAATAAATTGTGTAGCTTTTCCAATAAATTGGTTGTCAGCAAACAGTGACAAATCTAAAGCTTCAGGTAGTTATCCGTATTCTTCATAAGGTTTTTGGAGAGGCTTTAGGTGCACAACAGTGAGACAAATCCAAAAGAGACCAAGGATGGAATCTGAAAGAAACTTGTTTATTGAGGAAGTGTTGGAGAACTTAACACCAACCTTCCCTGCTCAGAGAGCAAACTTTCCAAACATTAGATTTTATTTCTTTATTTTGCAGATCACTCTTTTCATATTTATAAAATGCATGTCTTGTAATAAGCAGTTCCTTACCTTCTAAGTAAAATAATTTTAATGAAGTTTAAGCATAAGTCCCTTCTATAATCAACAATTTTTTATTTCATCCAGGTGATCTAGTTCACAAATTTTAAAATTACATCACTACAAAAGTATTTCAATATTTTTGACTGAAGAAACCAGTAAAGACACGGAGGCTTTCTGAATTTGCATTCCAAGACTCTAAATTTTTATATGCTTCATATTTGCTAGAATACAACAAGCAAATACCCATTCAGTTTGAGAATGACCTTATTAATTTAGAAAGAACAGTTAAAGAATTGGAGGCAGAAGGGAGGATGAAACAACTGTTTCAGTATTTCTGTCAATACTAGTCTTGTCATTTTCAAATAAATATTGTTATTTACATGTACACAAATGTATTTTAATATTTTTCAATGTCCAAAATGTCATTGAAAGGTATTCAGTGTAAAAACTTTTATTCAGTAGCAAGTTATGACTTGTGACCTACAAAAATGAAGCAATTAAATAATATCCCCCATATGAGCACTCTTCTTCTTCCAAGTAATAACTGTCAGCTAGACATATTTGATGATTAATCTGTGCTTATTCCTTTAAATGTCAGCTGCTCTTGTCTAAAATGTCAAGCTAAAACTTTTCATCTCGTAGTGATTCATTTGAAGAAGGTCTTAAAAAAATTTAGAATATGTCTAAGGTTAAAAATTAAAGAGTATTATTTATATGTTTTGGAACATGCATCATCTTGAGCAGATTATATTGTCTGTCATCTTGTCCAGATGTGGAAATCTTCTTGTTCTGATGGAAATAATGTAATTATAAATTCTGAAAAATTCTGACATAAAGTACTATATCTGATGCCTTTTTTTTTTTTTAAAGTGGTATATCTGCCACAGCTCTTTCCATTTTTTCCAGGGATGATATTATATCAAGGGAATGAAAGGATAGAACAGATTATATTGTAGTCAGGTGATATGGCTGTAGGAATACAGTGCCTGAGTGCCAAGGTCAAATATTTCATAGGCATTTGGATGATCCTGAAAGTGAGAGAAACAACTGAAGATATTTTGAAGTTTAATATAATTATCTTGTCTCAAATTCTTTTTTTGTTTTTAGTTCTTTCCACTGACATCCTTTGTTGAATCACAGAGGAGAGTTTCATATTTTCTCAGCCAAATTGATATCCTGCTGCTGCATCCAATAAATCTGGATCTAGTTGACATTTCAAGAACCCCTGATCACTCGGGTATTTTCTTTCTACACATGATGTCACTCACCACAGTTATATATTAATGAAGCAGGATGTTAGTTCAGTCCTTTCTTAGGTCAAATGCTATTTTTTTTTAATCTCTATGCAGTAAACATACAATAGTTTATTCATAATAGTCAAGGGTGAACAGACAGTAGACAAGCAACAGGAGGAGTGTGGAGAAAAGGGATAAGGAGTGAGATAAGAATGGTGTGGTGGGAATGGATAAAAGAGAGGTGGGTGATGTATCTAGAGACAGCAAGTTTGAACCTGGTTTTTATGTTCTTCTTGCTGATGCTGAATGCAGCATCTATCTGTGAGACAATGGCCATAAGTGAAATAGTGCTCATAAAATGAGGGGAGACAAGACATAAGGAAAACATTCTTCACTGCAGCAGGCTGGTGAGAGGGGCTGTGCAGTCTCTGTTCTCAGCATTTCTCAGGATAGTGCTCCACAAATCCCTGAGTAATCTGACCTGAACAGGGTCTATTGACCCTGTGTTGATGAAGAGGTTGGTCCAGATGACCTCCTGCAGTCCATTCCAACCTGAATGATTCTCTTTCCTTTTTTGATCCATTAACATAAGCTAATATTGCTCTTCTGCATAGCTATACTTTAGTAAGGCCATTGGAAAACAGGTTACATCTCTTTATTTTCTGTTTCATATGGAGTACACTATTGCCGGGCTTCCTCAAAAGCAAAACTCAGAAAAAATACATAGAAAATATACTGTTTTCAATAAATGTACTGAAAGTCGATGAAGTCAATGTTAAGAGCTGCCAAAATTTAATTTGCTCATGTAATCTGAATTCACAGCTTTTGGGTGTAAACTTAAAGAATCATATTCTTATTATAGGATTACAGGTTAGATTTTCCAGTGGGATGAGTGCCTCATTTAATCTGTAAAGTGGATAGGTTCAGAGAAATTTAGTAATCATTATATATGAAGTAATACATAAGACCAAAAGATTTTTACTGAAGATACTTGAATGCTGTGGAAGAGAGTAATATTCTATGCATAGTTCTACAACAGAGTTTTTTTGTGATATCGTACAGATAAGTCCTTGCACATGCTACCAGAAATTGTGTTGCATATCCAAATAACCTGACAAGTTAAAGTATAGATTGAGAGCTGTAGTTCCTGTGTAACTGAGGATATAAAGTGGAATGATTTGAAGAATGCAAATAATACCTGGAATTTTTTGAATGTATTTTACCACTAGTATAGTTGGTAAGCAAGGATTAACAGCTTTGGATCAGAGGACTCTTCAGTTCTTAATAGAGGTAATACCAGTGTGATGTGTTTTTTATTGGGGGATTTTGTTAAATCCTGTAATTTATGTAAGGCAGTTAAACATTGCTAAAGATCGAAGTCCATGAATAGTAATAATGCTTTTCTTTTCCTGAATAATTTACATTTGAAGACAAACACAGATTATCATGGAATCAAAGAATACCTGAGTCAGGAAAGCATTTCTGCAGACCATCTAGTCCAGAGTCAGCCAAAGGAGGTGTCTTGGGACCAAGTCTATCTGGGTGTTGAGTAGCTTCAAGGATGGAGACTCCACAATCTCCTGGGCAGCTTGTTCTCTCTTGAGTTACCCTCAGGTTTTCCCTCTTTCTGTGTTTCAATTTGTGCCATTGGCTCTTGCCCTCTCACTGGGCACCACTGAGAAGGTTCTGGCTCTATGTGTACTCACCTCTGTCAGGTGTTTATACACGTGGATGAGATCCCTGATCCTCAGGGGTGAATTGCTGGCTCATTCTCAACTTCTTGACCACCAGGACCCCTTGGGCCCTCTCTGCAGAGCTGCTTTCCAGCCAGTCAGCACCCAGCCTGCCCTGGTGCATGGGGTTATTCCTGCTCAGAGGCAGGATCATCATGGAATCGCTGAACCTTTGCTTCACTCCTGAACTGGCAGAGAGCAGTGAGGGCTGGCTGGTCCCTAAGGGGGAAAAAAAGCACACAAACACAGCCACCAGGGCCAGTCAGCCAGGATCCATCCCACACTACTCCAGGAAGGAAGGAAAAAAATGAAGTGGTTTTAAAGATAAATTTTGAGATGACATTCTTTGTGCAGGATCAGTAATGGAATTTGTATTTTCAACAGTGCAGCCTCAAATAATACAACTTAAAAATGAAACCACCTTTGAGAATGGGAAAGCAACCCTCATCTGTGAAGCAGAAGGAGAACCTGTCCCAGAGATTACTTGGAAAAGGGCCTCTGATGGAATGACTTTCTCTGAAGGCGATAAGGTAAATTTGTATTTAATGTATAAAATATCTAAATAAGTATTGTCTGGCTAATCTTCTTTTTGCAAGCAGAAAATTAATTTAGAGATAGATAATGGTAGATTCCTCCGAAATTAGAAGGAATTGCTATTTTCCAAAGTAGTAAAAGAGACATGGAGATTTTAAATTTGAAATTTAAAAAAAAAAAAAGGCAATAAAATACTGAAAGGTAATTCATCACTACAGGCTTAAATTTTAATACATAATCCCTACTAATGGTTTCAATGTCATGATGGCTACACGTAACCCTTCTTCAGTATATTTGGACTCTGTCCAGTAATCCTCAAAATGAATTGGAGCTTATAGATATCTAAAATTAAAAAATCTGAATACTCTGGAGTTCTTTATTTCCCACTTCATTTTTTTTATTCTACTTTTCTTTTTTCTTGTATTTTTCCTTGTGCAGGGCACAAACTGAGCCTATTTTCCCATTTTTTCCTCGTTTTCGTGTTTTATTACAAAAGTAAATTGTGTAGAGAAAGATTGCAGCCTGACAATGAGGAAAGTCAGTTACTGTGGGAACAAGAGCTGTAATTAGATGGAATGGTGAAAGTAAAAGGGCACAGTGTAGTGTTATTCCTAACCATGTAGACAGCAAGCTGTTTCTACAGAGCTCTTTTTAATTTTCCCTTTTTAAAAGTAATTTTCTTTTGGTATTTGAACAAGTATTTCCTTCTTAATTTCCTGACATAAGCTACAGAATTTCTCTGTACTGGTTAAAGTAAGACATACTATCTTTCTGGCTAACTAATTCAGAATTTTTACTCCAGATAATCAAATACAGTCTTCTTGCAGATTTTTGCATATTCTTAGGCGTTGCTTAAAAAAAAACAAACAGTTGAAAACCTGTGCAGCAGGTTTTCTGAGAGAACTAGATACATAGTAAGTCACTCAATTTATAGGGAATTGCTGTATAATAAGGAATTATGTACTTTCATTATTTGTATTCTGAAGGAGAAGGTCTGGTCTGGTCTAATCTCTGACTTGACCTTTCCTGGAATTGAGGCAATTTGTGAGGCTCTGTCTACCATTTTCCTGCTCTGTGATTTCCATTTTGAAGCAATATAACAGTTTTTCTAAATTAATTTTTCAAACAGTTTTGCATTAAAATAAAGCGGTTTCTCTTTTCCTTAAATATTTCAAGTTAAAGGTCATCTTTCTGACCCACAGAGATTACACTTGGTTCAAAGGTTACAAACATGCCCTCTCAGTTATGTTTTAAATGATCCTGAAATAACTTTGTTACATCAGACACTGAAAAGAAGAGTAAATAGCAGAAACAAGCTTAAAAATGTTGGTGTAGTTGAAACTTGAAATTTATCCAGTGCTTATATAGGACAGTATCACGTTCTTAATTCCAGTTGCAGGTGGTTAAGCTGCCAGACATGTTGCTGTAGTATTCTCTGAACTTTAGTTCAACTCAATAATACTGACAATCAGACAAAAATCTATATTCACTTCCTACTTGTGTGCTGACATACTCTATGTGGAAGATAAAAAGAGTGAGAATAAATACAGTTACGTGGTTTCCTTTGTTCTTGCCAATGAAAGAACTCTGTGTATTGCTCAGGGGAGAGTTTGTGCTGAATCTTGAATAAATGTTCTGAAATACTGTATATGTTCTTGAGCTATAAAATATGCTGCTACATTTGCCCTGTGGTCCTCCAGCTTTAGGGTGCCAAAGGCTTGGCTTGTGCTTTCCTACCAAATTAGGTGACTTGGGAACAAAACTGGCAGTGATTTAATTATTGAATAATTGTTGAACAATACAGCAAGGTTTTGCACATAGAAAGAAAAGGGAAAGGTGAATTGAAGAAAATGAGGGAAGAGGGGGAGTAACACAGACCATAGTCTTCAATTGAAATTATTACTTATGTGTGATAACTTTTGAAGTAACCTCCAATCACAAGACAAAATACATTATGCATAAAGATTATAATCTACATTCAATGGATTCATCTTTTGAATTTTTGCCAATTTTTAAACATTCTTGGTATTAACTGCACTTTATTCAACATTTCTGTTGAATTAAGGGTATCATTAGGGGATGATTTTTTTCCATAGAAGATGGAAGAACTGCTTGTGCTATAACATTAACATGATGATGATTAAAGAACACAGAAACTGCTGTTCTTACTTTTTAATTATACTTTTATTAATTTTAGTATGTACCTCCTCAGTCATGTTGTCCTTGTTTTGCTAAAATGCAAACATACCTCACGTGGATAAGGAAGAAGGCTGAATGTGAGATCTTTCTTAGCCTGCATGGATTCAAACTGTTTTCTTTCCAGTGATAGAGCTTATAACGGGGATGTAGGCTTTCCTGAGTTTTGAAATTATTATGTCCTGAAGAATGGAAAATATGCACCAAACTTATAGATCAAAGAAGTAACCCATCTGGGCTTAAGGAGGATAATATTAATGAGTAAGAGCTCTATAATTATCTCTTTAGAAAAACAGCTTTGATAAAGGATTTTCAGTACTTCAGAAGTGTGTATTTGAAAGCTGAAGCCAAATGAGTTCAAATCAGAAGCAAGGAAGCCTTTTCCTCTCTCCTTTTATCAGTTAGCCTTTGGAACAATCTACCACACAGTGTGTGTTCCCTCTTTCACTGACAATTTGAAATATAGGGATCTTTCCCTTTCTTCTGACCTCTCTTGAAAGTTAAGTAAAAGTTTTCCAGGAGGTCACATTAGATGACCTCTGTCATCCTTCTATGGCTTTTTTAACCCATAAATAGATGAGAGTGGGTAAGGTTCAGTAAATTAATGGCTATGCATGATGGAAGGTGTTTGTCTCACCCTTTAAGGTGTGAAAATGGAGGTTTAGTCCAAGACCAGAGCTTCAGCTGCTGTTTCAGTGTCAAGCCAAAACTCTGCCTCTGCTCTTCTTGTCCCCAGCTCCCCAGCACTGCATATCCTTGCACTAATGTGCCAACCTGGCTGTGCCCCTTCCAGCTGTGATTTGAAATGATGTGGTCCTAAAGACCACCGTGCATCCAGCAGGCCTGGCCCTTCTCCCAGTGAAAAAGAGGAGGCAGGAGAAGAGTTGTTGTTTTTTTTTTAAGAACAGAAGGAAAGATAGTGATTGGATTTGATTTGGCATAATCACTTGTAAAATGGGGTTTGGATGTGCACATACATATCTATACATATCCCTCAAGGAAAGCATGTCCTGATCAGTGGTACAAAAATGTCATTGACTCCTCTGAATCCTGCAGAACTGTGAGGGCAGAGTTTAATGCTCTACTTTCATAGTATCTAATTCTAGCAGAAAATATTAAAGCTGACCAATGTTCTTTGTAATTGCCCTGTTTTGGAATACACATTACAATAACAAATGGGGCTTGATATGAGACAGTGGCTACGCTGTATGCAGCACATGTCCAAAGAGACATATGCTGAATACCCTGAAGAATTTGTGACCTAAACACACACAATGAATGAAAGAAGTCAGTACAGAGAGATCCCAGTCAAAACTTGGTTTTTGGATTTAAGATATGGATTTATACTGTATTTTTTACCGTACTTTGTACTGTATTTAAAACACTGAATATCTCTCAAGTATCTTATACTGTTTTCCTTGTATCCATAAGTAAAAAAACCCCTGATTTTCAACTTTGTAATGACAACTTTACAGAAACAGCTTGAATTCTGCTTTGCTTCATCTACCTTCCATTGTAATAATGTGTGTCTCTCTGTGAAATTCCCTGTGACATTGTTTATAAATATTTCAGAGTTCAGACCAATAATTAAGTTATTTTCCAAGTTTGAATTCACTTTATATTGGCATGCAAATCATAGCTATGTGGAACTTGTAGAGTTTTTCATAGTTTTTATGATCAGGCAATAGGCAAAGTTAAAGAATTTGGGATTTGTTTTATCTTTTTCTTTGAAAGGTCAACTCTGTTTTTTCTTCAAGCCTTTTAAATCCACTTCAGCCATTACAAATGATAACAACAAAAAAAAAAAAAAAACAGATTTTTTTTTCTCCCTGTATATGCTGTTTCTGCACAAAAAGAAACAGTGTTACAGTGTCAGTCTTTTGAGACAGTAATGAGAGTGCTTTCAAATTTTTTCTTATCAAGGATTAGGTCTTCATCTGAAATGAATCACAGAAAACGTAGATGTATCTAGGGTATTTTAATTGATTCTAGGAGGCATCTTTCTTTTACTGAGCTATACAAATGCTGCTCTTTGTAAATAATTCTCCTTTGAATAGTTGGAAAAATGTAAGAGGCAAGTCTCTTTGCCATGTAGGAGAAAATTGTTATAACCTCTTTCAACTACACATTGTATGAAAAGCTTCTACTTACAGTATCATAGAATATTTTTGTTGCTGCAATATTAGCACAGGCCTGCAGGTCAGAACAATTTATGTAGCCAGCTGCAATTACGTTTGATTATACAATTGAGACACTCTGCAAACAATTCAATCAGGCCTCAAAGGTTGTTCTGTTTTTAACCACAAATGAATCTTAGTGGGATTCACATGTTAAGGCTATGAAAACAGGACTATTGTGACTGGAAGGAAAAGGTAAGCAAGTGGACTTGAGCAACAAGGTCACTTTAAATGATGGGTAATTAGTACTGTTGAGAATATGCAGATTTTTACCCTACAGCATATGCAAATAATGGAGCACATATGACCACTGAATAGGAGACTCTCAGGGGCCATCTGATCCATGGAAATCTGTATATGGTTTGGTGCTTCTTCATCTTCTCTATGGCATGCTCAGCTACACTAATAGGGAGTTGGGACAAACTCTTTGCTAACTAGAAGGAGCAAAAAGTGAAGTGTACAGTTGGGAGAGGTGACAGAATTTTAGTAGGAAGACTGAGTTTGGAGAAGGATTGTTTGCAGTTGGAAATGAAGAGCGGCTTTCTTTGGTGACCTGAGGAAGCGTTACGGTAGGAAAGCTGCAAGGAAATGTGGGTATTTCCAAGTTCTTAAGTAGCTCAATC